CCAAAGCAGCCTCAGATATCATTGTCATTTCATCACTTTTTAAAAAATCACTGGTGGTGGGGGGGGTTGTTTAAGAAGGCGGGTGTTGCTCTACATTTATTACTGTCATTTTTTAGCACTGGCTCAAAAACTTCTGTGGTCATTACCTACAGAATAGCAGTTAAATTTTCTACTCCAGAATTCAGAGTGCTGTGGTCCCAAATTAACTTTCTAATGGTCTCCCGCACTGTGAACCCTCTTAACTCACCTTCCTGAGTCTCTATTCCTTTAGAGCCCCCACCAGTATCATGCTGACTGGGGAAGCCCAGCCACACAACCTCTTTGGGAGGAGGAAGTGGGATTCCCAAGTTGGAACCCTGATTGCATTTTCTCATAACCTTGAACATGAAGTTTGGGATCTGTGTAGGATCCGCATAGGATGTGGTGGAGTGGAGGTTGGAAACTTTTTGAGCTGGTCCACAACATTTAATCACTGTGTTTAATCCACATTGTTGCTATTTGAAATGAATTTTAACCCCTCAACCCATTTCTAAATCAGATTCTACCTTAGTATGATGCTCAGAAAATCTTTAATTCCATTTAATTAAGTAGTGTTCATTATCAGCTTTGCCTTTGTTTGCAGCTCTATTTCTGCTCATTCAAAGCAGGAGCCACACCATTAACCATAAGACATGATGGTATCTCCTTGGGCTGGCTTGTCCCCTTTGCTGTCTGTGGGGGCTGATGCTCATTATATTGTGAGGAAACTGATGAGGACCTCAGTTTGCTTAACATGGGTGAGCAGAAAGCATGGTGTTTGTCATATTAAATGCATCCAAGAAAAGCAGCTGAAACACCCTGGTGTTCTACCAGGTGCAGCACTACTTATGTCCTTATACCAGGCCTCCCGTTCCACAACCTGGTATCTGGTTCTGGCATGTTTCAGAATTGGATGGGATCTGGTCATTCTCTGCATTTCAGAAATTGTTCCTCTTGAGCTAGACCCCAAAGACCTTGCCTGCCATTTTCTTGGGTGGTTGTACCTGGAAAACTGAGAAGGTGTGGGCATCTTTGTCCTTTGACTTCAAGACAAGGACACATTTTAGGAATCTCACATGTTTCTGTCTCCCTGCGTGCACTCAACTTTTCAAGCTCTAAAAGAATCCATTAAAGGAGTTTTCTTTGTTGTCTACCATGTACCAAGTAAGTTCTGTAGGTTGACTGAGATATTTGGAGTGTGAAAGGGAAGATTGTGGAATTCACGTCTGCTTGGTCTTTGGCACATTCGTTCCGCTTACCTGCCTCTCTCATTTTAGCAGCATCATTCTGGGCCTGCAGAGGAAGAACTTCGACTTAGAGGGTCTCCTAGAAGTAAAAATAAAGTGCTAAAAAAATTTTCTTCCTAAGTGCTATAATATGGTTTTCTCAGCGTGGTTGGGGATTCAGGAGAGTTCTGGATGGAGGTGATGGTTCCTTTTTCTCCCTGAAACAAGACTCTTATTTTTTGGGTCAGCTTTCAATGTCTCTCTGTTGATTTCCCTCCCTGCTGGGTTTGGTTTGCCCCTCTTGTTTGCTATGGTGCCATGTCCTGGTTACAAGTAAGAAGAGTTACTTTCATGGAGTTATTTTGGGGTTTGGCCTTGGCCCAGGATTTGACTTGGTAGACTTAAGAGCTGATACTATACCAGTGGCTTCCCCTCCTCCTCCTCCTGTGGGGCTGAAAGTGAGACCTGTTCTTTGCTGCCCTGCAAAGAACACAAAATACAGTTCAAAATGGAAACCAAGGGAATCCCAGATCGCATCCTGCAATTCCTTCTTGCTGTCTGCCTCAATACACACCTTTTTCAGTCTCTGTTACTGCTCCCTTACTTCTGACATGTTTTCCTTTCCTAAGCTCCCAGCGCCTTTGTTGCTCATGATCGTCGTTCACATGCTTGTGTTCACTGTGCACTTTCACTTTGCTCTCTATTTCGGGTTCCCACTGCATCCACTGGGGATGCTGGGCCCGGCCGTGCACACTGTGCATTGCAACGGGACCCATCTCACATCTGCTGCTATTTCTGTGATACCTCTTCCTTTGCTCCCACTTTGGTCTTCTCCTAATAACTAAAGGAGGTATCTAGTGTCGGCAGGATTGATGCAAATCATTCTTTGGCTCCTAATGTGAGGGCGCCAAATTGCATTATCCAGAAATAGATAGCTTGGTTCTTACTCCGCAGAGGGCCCCTTGGATTGAATTCTCAAGCACCTGGGTTTTGTTCTGCACCCACTGAGTGTATCATTGGGAAAAAAAAGGAGCCTGCCTTCCACACTGTAACCTTTATACCCTTCCCAGAGCCTTTCTTGCCCTCAGTTGTATTTACTAGACATTCTTTATTTCTGAGTTTGTATCTTAAAATATTGCTGGAACTTACTGCTTATTCCCTGAGGGAATTGAACTCACGTGAGCTGTTTGGCTTATGGCCTGTACCCCGGATCTCCCAACCCAGGGACACTCACCGAGAAAATTATTCAGCAGCTTTCCTTTCTGTTCCTAGTAATAAAGGAAACTGCATTGTCTCTTAGAGTCACCTGCACATCCTAGGATCTCTCTTCTAACTATAATCCCTCCATGCCCCTTTCTCTGCAATTTTCCACTGTGTGCCAGGGATCATTCACTTCGGGGAAGTGTGGTAGAAGGGAAGGGGCAATTGGTTGGCTCACTAGAGATGTGGGGTTTTGGTTTCCTGGCCATGATGGGTAGCTTTTATTTTTATTTCTCCTTGGCTTCTGTCAACTTCCTTTTCTTATTTCTCACGTTGTACAATGTACATTAGAGAAGAAACATCCAAAATAGTCAAGTACTTTGCTTTAACTGTAAGAGGTAAAATTGTTAATGCATCTTGGCTTCCGGTGACTCTGTTTCATGTGTTCGTGTGTGTCTGTCTCTGGTCTCTCCCCCTTCCCTCTCTGCTTCCTCTTCACTCTTCTCCAGGTGCTGGGGATGTGCATCTGATAGGGTGGGAAGAGGAGGATGCTGAAGAAATTTTTAAAAAACAACACTTTAACAAAGAGGGCCGACACTGTATGAAGTTTGTGACGTTAAAAAGCCATGGATTAAGAAAAGGGCTGATCATTTTTTTTATTTTCCTCCCTGTGTTTTGTATACTAGTCAGTGTTCATTTTGATGACTAATAGAAACCCACTTGGTTAAACTTAAGCAGAAAAAGAATTTATCAAATGGGAATTAACGGAACTAACAGAACGATGAAGAACCAAGCTCTGGCAGAAAACCAGGGGTAGGCCAGGCAAAAGAATAGTTTGCGTAGGACATCGCCCCCTCCATTGCTATTGAATACTTGATGCTCCAATGGGCTGTAGCCGCTACTGCAGCAGCGAGACGTGGCCAACAGCCCCATGCTTTCATGTCGGTCCCTGCAAGTTCAGTGTGGGTGCATCTGGTTGGCTGCTCTTAAGTCATGTGCCTATAGCCTAGGTGCCATGGTATTGGGAAAGGGAATATTTGCTAGCTGATAAATATTTTTTGTTTGTAGTTCAGTGCAGGGCACAGAGGCTGTTAGTAAAGACATTTGGTCTTTTGATTTATATAGTTAAGCGATAGATGCCTATAAGTCCACTGAAACCAGTTGGTATCAGTTGGGAGCTAATATCCCATCAGAGCACCTGAATGCTTTGCAGATTGTCCACTCATTCCAAAAAAAAAAGACCTGAAGCAGCAAACAATTTTGCACCAAATGCTTCTTTTCAGTTCTTAAAATGACCTTTTTTGTGGTTCTTCTGCACGGTCATTGCTCCAGCTCAGTACTTACCCCGCAGCATTGTATTTGGCTTCGTTATCTGAAATGCATGCGTGTTTCACACGTTAGGTCCTTTCCTTCTGTTGCCAAAAGGTTCTGTGCCTACTGTTCGTATGTATGAACTACAAAACAAACTTGGAGGAACTTGGGTTTTATGAGATGCTGCACCCCACACCCAACAAAATGACCGCTGTGAATTCGGGAGGTCTTTTTCAGTAACCACCAGACAAACCTGAATTGTGGTGGAGGTACTGAGCACGTCCTCCACGTTACACTGGCAGTAACGTGCCCTAAATCGAGGACAGCCTGCTTCCCACACCTTGGTGCAGTTTCATTCTGCTGGGTTGGAGGCCCGTTGCTGAAAGGGGGCTCTGTCCCATCAAGGAACCTATGGTTTCAAGACTTAAACGTCTTTGTTGGAACTTGCTTTGGGAGAGTTGCTTGTGCTGCCACCTCGGAAAGAAGGTTTCTCTGTCCTTTCAGCTGGGGGGTGGAGGGTGGCTGTGAAAGGGGGTTCGTTGGCAGTTGAGTTCCACCAATGTTTTCTCAAGCCGAGACTGAGCTCCATTCATCCTCATGCCTGTGTGTGGCTCCAAAGGGGCCAGCCAAGCAGCTCGAAGTCTGCATTGAGAACTTGATCCCCTAATGTAACGATTAAATTTTAGTAAGTGAAATAAAAATGTTTCAGAAAAAGAGAGAGAGAGAGAGAGAAAGAAGGAAAGCTCAGAACAATACTTGTTTTATTTAACTATGAAGACTTTCTGACAGCACCCCCTTCCCCGCAGGATATGAGAACTCTCGGTCCACTGCAGCCCTGCCCTAGGGACCTTGCAGCAGAATTTGGCTGGGGGTGGGGGGTTCTAATGTAAACAGCGACCATGAAGTCCTGGAGTCAGCTCCCCTTCCTTTCTCCTGTCTCCCCTTCTCTCTTGCCACCTCGCCCCCAGCCCCACCTCCCAGACAGGCACAAGCAGAACACTGAGCAACTTCAGGTTCAGGCTGAGGAGAATAAAGGTGCTTTGTGAAGGGAAGCAAAACATTCCTGGGGGAGGTGAGGGGCCTGGGGCATGAATGTGCCCTCAGTCTGGGCTGATGCTGCACACCCTGCTCCCTCTCCCAGCGCACCCAGGAGGGAGGTGGAGGGAGGAGGGCCCAGCCCCCAGCCAGGAAGCTCTGGGCGTGGGCAGGGCTTGTGGGAATGATTTCATTGGAAAGGCCTGCGATATTTTTTCCCCTCCCGTGTGTGGTTCTTGGAGAAAGTTGGAGGTGGTGGTGATTTCAGTTGCCTTGGCCGCGGGGAGTAGGAGCTGAGCAGAGGCACTGGGCTGGCTGAGCTCGCCAGCAGTCCGGCTCTGGTCCCTTCGGCCATGCCTGGGGCCAGCCCGCTGCCTCCCGGGCCCTGGCCCACCTTCATCTGCGCACCTCTTCCTCCCCCTTACTCCACCCTTTCCAAAACCTATCTGGGTCCTCTGTGCGCAGGGTTCTTTTTCAGTTTTTCTTTTTGGAAAAGACCTTTGAGGGGAGCAGATGCCACCTAAGGCCCCACTATCTCCTCTACAAAGAGCCCAGATGTGGAAATGAATTGTTGGCATTTTTAGTTTTATCTATGAATTTATTTTTAACCATCGGCATTTTTTTAACTTCTGTGTTCTGCTGTGTTTCTTGTGTTTAGTCTTCGAGTGGTTCAACCGACCATGACCCACTGGGCCCCCTCCCTCCTGGCTGGGGTAAGTACTGAGCCCTGCTTCTGTGCCCTTAACCTCCCTCAGCTGATGCTCCACCGTGCTCTGTCCCCTCCCTGAGAGTCTCCCTCACTCCCCTCCCTCGGTTTCCCCTTTCACTTCTCTCCAGCATGCTCTGTGGGGATGCCCCGTCAGAGAAATTGCAGGCAATGGAGCCAGAAGGCTGGGAAAGTAATGGAGTTCTCCTACGCTATAGCATTCACCTGCCGTAGCTGAAGGAGGGTGACCCTACGAAAGAAGTCCCCAGTGGCTGTGGTACTGTTGGGTTTTGGTCTGACTTTCAAGGTGTCTACCCAACAATCCATCCTGTCACTAAGACATTTTGATGCTGGCTGACTCCCAGATGCATTTGTTTCAGGTCTGTGGCCATGTGATTGAAAGGAGGCACCTTACCAAACCTTCCTTTGCAACTGAGATGTTGGAAGACTTCAGCCTAATTTTGACTAATGGAATTCACTTTTTGGGGGGACACAGCTGTGTAAGGGGCCAGAGGGAAGCCAGCTGAGCATGGGGTGGCAACTCTATGAAAGTACATCACTGGATTCTCCTTGTCATTGGCAGCTGCCTCCTACCTATTCTAAGTCCTTGGTGTGATTTGCAATAATGAGTTAGATGGGCATCTATGACTTGAGAGAAATTACAGACTTTATGGCTATTTCAGGAAGGCATGGTCATGCAAAAAGGGGTCATTAGAGATGGTGAGACTCAGGGCTTTCTGTAGCTCTCTGAGCTGGGTCAGGGTTTTGTTCAATCGGCAAGAGTTCCTGGGAGCTAAAGAGGACCGTTTTGGCAGGAATTGGCATGTTTTGGGTTTAATTGATTGGTTAGGCCAGTAGAAAACAGTAAATGCAGGTTTGGTGGTATTCACAGATGGTATTAAGTTGGGCAGGGGCGTGCTCCCCATTGAAGATGGAGAAGCTGACAATGACAGGTTGAGCATCTAATCCTCATGGTGCAGACACAACTACTCCCTGGTAGTAATTTACGAGGTTGCATCAACCCCCTAGGACCTGTAGGGTATCACTTAGTGAATGACCACTGCATTCCAAACACTGGAGGGACCTCCTCCTCCTAGTGGGATGTATCAGGGAGGCCTCTACACAATTCTTGATTTTCCTGGGGAATCCCTTCCGAATGCATGTGATCTACCTTGCTCCCTGAGCTGATGAAAGGCCATTGCTATCTCAGAGTTTGGCAGCAAGTCAAATGTGAGGGAGTCCAGTATAGAGTTCCTAGCCAGATAGGGGGAAACTCAACAGATTAAACAGGACTCTGTAATGCTGTTTGGCAGCCAGTAGACACTGTGACCCAGAGCTGGGGACCCAGAGTGGTACCTTTCTCTGTAGTCAAGTAATTTATTCTGTACCGGTTTAGCTAAATGATGATCACCAAGTAAGAGGAGCTATAGGGACTTATAAACAGCTCCCAGAAGCCAAGTGTGAAATATGTGAGATGGGAGTAGGGGCCATGGTTGGAGTCAGTGCTGTTTACGAATGAGGAGGAAAACACACAAGACGACAATGGTATGTACCTGAGAAAGAAGAACATCTGGCCAAGGGCCAGGGAATCTTCCTAATCAGATCGTTTGGGCTTTGTGTTGGCTTCTCTGAGGCCGGTGCAGGGCCACTTCCCCAGGGAGAGTTGAACAGAAAGAGCAGCAAAACTAAATGAGAATTGCATTTAGCATGAGCCTTCTGTCAAGTCTACTGTGTTCTGCTGTCAGTCCTGCATCCCTTTCTGCTCCCCCATGAGAGACCCCATGGTCCTTCCTGAGCATCGGCTCAGTACTCAGGACCTCTCAGTTTTAGATCCACATCTCTTCAGCTGCCCTGACCTTGGGCGTATGACCGAATGTTCGCGAGTCCATTTCTCCCTAAATGAGGTTGAGCTAGATGTTCTCAAGGACTCTCCTGGCCTCCCCACAATGAAGTTGTATTCAGCAAAGCAGTTCCGGTGGACCATGAGAGGCCCTCCATGCAGGGAACTGCCAGAAGCAAGGGCGCAGGCCTCAGACCGACTGGACAGGCCCCCAGCCCCGTGGTTGGTGAGGATTTAGTTCAAAGCGAAGTCTCTGGCCGGGAGCAGCCCCTCCCTCCCTGCAGAGCCCTTTCGGGAAGCCGTCTCCTGTGGGACAGTCCCACAGCTTCTCTATAGCAATTCTGGGCACCTTTTTTTCCTTTTGTTTGTGTCTTTAAAATGTTTGTTGAGTGATGGATACCAGGTAAGGTAGACAGAGACCAAGAGCCTGGGTTGATATTGGGAATGTTGCACCCTGGTACTTGAGGGGAGGGGGCTGGGCCTCCCAGTTCTGCTCCTTTTCAGTGTTTGGTTTCCCTTTTAGCTTCTGGAACTGATTATTTTTATTTCTTTAATTTTGCCTTGTTGTCGGAAGTGAGAGAGGGCCATTAGCATCATTTGTTTTCAAGACAGAAACAGCCTTGAAGGCTCAGAAACTTCCTGGGAAAGGTGACCTGTCATGGGTTCTGAGCCTTGCCCTTAGTTTTGCCTGCCATCCAGAGCTGATGGGGTGACTCTTTTAACCTTTTTCAAAGTCTGGAATCCCCTAGAATTGGGTCTGCCCCTGATGCCCAGACTCCCGCCCTGGAGGACCCCAGAGCCATCATCAGTGCACTGGTAAAGGGCAGGAGAGTAAAGATTGTCCAGAGGAGAGAGGAAGAATTTCTGAGATCTCCCAACACTGCCCTGTCTGGAAGGATGCACTTAGGTGTAAGGACTAGATGGGTGTTGTAAGTGCCGCAGCCCCTGGCATTTTGCACATATGCAACCTAGAGGTTTGGCTGGGATGTGAGAGTTTTAGAACAAAACTTTCCCTTTGAGCAGGAGAAAAAAGGTAAAGTAGAGGGTACATAGGCTCTGAGTGCTGATCAGAGAGGTATAAGGGAAAATGTAGCCCCACAGGCGCCTGGGTCCCTGCACTCTGTGTGTAGAGCTGTTGTAGCACCAGAGACCAGCTATCACAGATTTGGTGGGGCTGGGACCAGGGTTGAGGGGCGCCTGGTGGGGGTGGGACCTCAGTTGAGGGGAGGCTGGCTGTGCCTCCACTTTGCACACAGCTGGATGCAATTATGGCTCTGGTTTTAGCCGGCCACTCCCCCTCCATGTTGCCACACTGCTCCCCTCCCTCCAACAAACCAAAGACAGTGCTTGATCCTGAGTTGGAAATGTGTCTGTCCCTCCCCCACTCCCCAATAGGGAAAGATTCTCTTTGTCTTTTTTGCCTGTGACAGATGTGTGTGAGCCAGGCTTTCACTGGTTACACTTCTCTAACAGGTTGGGGACAGCGCAGAAAGTCGGACCCAGCACCTGGAAGGAGGCAGCCAGAGGGGAGAGAACATGGCTCAAAGCATCCCAGTCTGATTGTCCTCTTTTCTGTCTTCCCCCTGGCAGAGAAGAGACAGGACAATGGACGGGTGTATTACGTGAACCATAACACACGCACCACCCAGTGGGAGGACCCGAGGACCCAAGGGTAAGAGCTCAGGCTGGGAGGGGTGGGTGGGCCCTGTGTAGCTCCAGCATTGGCCAAGTGGCTTGGACTGCATTTGTCTTCTGTGGCCAATGTTCTGGGACCTTCAGTCTCATACGAGTGTCAGCCTATTGAGAGCCTAAAAGTGAGGTCCTTAAATTGACCTTCCTGGCATATGGACAGTGGCCTGCAGGGTCTCTGTGCTGATTATGCAAGCTGCTGATAACATGACTTCACCCTATATGTCACACCCCCCACCCCCCAGAAGCTAGTCTGGGACTGGGGCAGTTGGTGCCTCAGGGTTGCTGGTGCCCACTCAGGCCATCGCCATGGCCACCTAGAGCTAGTTCTTTGGCCTTGAGACAGTAAATGACCTGTTTCTTCTGTAGAACTGTCCTCACTTGGGTGGTGCCAGGTATATTTCCTCAAGGCCCACACTCAAGTTTTGCAGAGCCTGGGGTGAAAGCAGAGAGAAAGGAGCACTTTGGAGACCCCAGCCTCCTAAGCATTGAGGCCCAGAAGGTGAGGCTAACCCTTTAACCCCCCTTTCCTCATGTTTCCAGGATGATCCAGGAACCAGCTCTGCCCCCAGGGTGGGAGATGAAGTATACCAGTGAGGGGGTGCGCTACTTTGTGGACCACAATACCCGTACCACCACTTTTAAGGATCCTCGCCCAGGGTTTGAGTCAGGGTAAGGACTTTCCACAGGCGACAGACTGCAGTTATCTGTTAAGCACAGGCCCAGTTTATCTGTGTTGAGCTACTCTTACTGCCCTCTAGTGGCCAATTTCCACGCCACTGTAGCAGGGCTAGGGAGGGAAGGGGCCACCCTATTTATTCAGAGTAACACCAGTGGTGTCTGTCTGTCTGTCTGTCTCTCTCTCAAAGCAAATCTGGCTTTATTTCTAGGGTGTGTTTTTTTTATCATATCTGCCGAAGATTTTAATGGCAGTCACTTCCTTTCTTTTATGCCTTACCTTACTGGTCTTTAACATAGCACCAGGTTTCCTTAGGGCTAACAAGATACGTTGCTAATATTTGAGAAATCACATAGATTCCAGAACTTCTTTGCTCTTCCTAGGACGAAGCAAGGTTCCCCTGGTGCATATGACCGAAGTTTTCGGTGGAAGTATCACCAGTTCCGTTTCCTTTGCCATGTGAGTTCTGGTACTGGGCCCTCCCCTGGAGGTTGGGGTTGTGGAGTTATTTCGGCACAATTTCCCAGCCCAGTAGCAGCCTGGTTAGGTGGGGGCAGGTCACTTGTTTGACCTTGAGCAGTTGTTTGATGTCTCCAGGAAGCCAGTTCCCATTTCTGGGGACCAGGCTCTCCTCCCACGGCCCAGGGAGAGAGGGAAACCTGTTCATGCAGACAGGAGACCAGACTGAATAATTACCTCCTGAGGCCTGATTCAAGGTTTGTTTTTTCTCTTTTCAGTCAAATGCCCTCCCCAGCCATGTGAAGATCAGCGTTTCCAGGCAGACACTTTTTGAGGATTCTTTCCAGCAGGTTAGAAAATAATTATGTTGTCTAAGACCAGAGGCAGGCAGAAGTCCCCCTCCCGCCACCCTATCTTCTATCACATGGTCTGTTAAACCCGCACGGAAGTTTCTAAGGCCTGGGCCTTGGTGAATGGTGTCTGCCCCCTGCCCCCAGGCTGCCATGGAAGGGAGAGTGGCAGACTGGCCACGATGCTCTGTCTCCCTAGATCATGAACATGAAACCCTATGACCTGCGCCGCCGGCTCTACATCATCATGCGTGGCGAGGAGGGCCTGGACTACGGGGGAATTGCTAGGTGAGCTCGGTGCCCCGGGAAGGCTTCACTGCACCCCACTTCCCCAGGCTACTGGGCCCATGGCCAGAAAGCTGCCCCCTTCTTGCTCAAATTGATGGCCAGCCAGTGCCCTTATGCTCCTTCAGGAGTGGGCACTGGTATGGCCAGTTCCAATGGTGCTGGAGCTGGGTCCCAGGATCCCCTGCTGGGCTAGGTACTAACCCTTTAGTTACTAGGTCATGAGGAGGCTGGGGGCTTTACGGGGAGGGCTCAGGACAAGAGCTCTTTCACCAACCAATATGTCATTATTCCTGAACGTTAACGACCAGTCCACTGCATCTGTGGACAGTGGTTAACTATCAGTGCCATGTAGCTGTTCATTAAAATCACCCATGGGTGTCTCCTACTCTTAAGGCAGCTGGGGCAGGTTAAGTGGGGCATCTTGGTGTGTACCTGACATGTATCACCCCTGTCAAAATCCAGAGGGCCTTGGTCAGTATCAAGCTGCATGTCATGTGCACGGGATTAATAAAATTCAAATGGCTGATACAACCCTAAGAAGAGCCCAAAGCATTGTCTTGCCCCTGCCACAGTCCACCTACAAAAGTTAACAGACTCTGGAAAAAACATTGCCTTAGACAATGGGGCTGAAAGGCCCTGGCAGAGAGGAGGAGTATCTTAACCTGTGGTGACCACTCAGTTCACTCACCTCTCACAGAGTGGGGACATCTTGCTTGGTGTTGGGTTAATTTGCTGCTGGTCCTCTGTTTGTTGGTGGCTTTGCCCTCTGTGTTGGCCCCGGTGGATTGATTGCTCTCTTTCCCATGGTGACTTGGTGACCTCCTCTCCAGGCTCTGCTTGGTGGGCTTCTGGTGTGGCTCCCGCCCTGTGTGTGTCTGTCTCTCTGTGTCCTGCCAGTGGTTTTACCCTATGGTAGGTTACGTCATGCTGTTCTACCACAGGGTAGAACCACGGACAGGATACCGGGGCACCCTCTGCATCGAAGGACTCCTCATCTGCTCGGCCACAAAGAGCCCAGCAGCCAGGGACTGGCCCCGTTGGGATGTCCCCCTGCTGGTTTAGCTGAAGCCAAAAAGGACTCTGAATTCTGGTTTGAGGCTTGTACCCAGGGTGCAAAAAGATGCTAAGGCGTGGGTGTTGGTTCAGATGAATGTGTGGAAGTACGAGAAAGGTCTGGTAATGGGGTCGGGGGGCGGGGGGGAGGGCAAAGTACAAGGGAATACAGAGTTCATGCGTCAGGAGTTAGGAACGTATTACCATGTGTTCATGCTATGCTGCCTGCTCAGGTTGGGTGGAAGCAGAGTGGCTGCTATTCATACAGCACCTTTGCAAGATTTAGAAAAAGATGTCCTTTCTCAAGACACTTCCTTGTTGGGAAATGGTCACAATATTCTGACTTTATCAGAAAAAAACCACTTGGCAGCTAGTCGCAAGAACATTGTTGCAATAAATGTGCAAATCTATGATATTTTACGGTAGTACCCTGGTGTAGTGCACAGCTTACACAACTGTGCATGGTGCCCCCAGGGTGCAAGGAGCCCCATTGCCATTAAGATGCCCAGGATATCAGACATGAAGTCCTGGAACGCACCACCTGGGAGCCGGCATGCACGCACGCACATTTTCCTGAGCTCCATCCTCAGGTGTGGCTGTCGTCCTTGTTCGTTCTGGGTCTGACCCCACCCTGTTCACTGACCCGCTGTTACTGCAGGTTAGCCCAGGTGCTGATCCCAGTGGGCTCGACTCCCCAGGACACGTGTCTCCAGAATAGCTGAAACAGGAGGGCGGAGGAGAGTCGCGCCTCCAGTGCTGGTGTGCAAGGGAGGACCTGCTAGTCCTATTTTTCTCTCTTCTCTCACAGAGAGTGGTTTTTCCTCCTGTCCCACGAGGTGCTCAACCCCATGTATTGTTTATTTGAATATGCTGGGAAGAACAATTACTGCCTGCAGATCAACCCCGCCTCCTCCATCAACCCTGACCACCTCACGTACTTCCGCTTTATTGGCAGATTCATTGCCATGGTAAGATGCACTGCCATGGTAAGATGCATTGCCGTGAGACCTCTGGGGCGGGGGAGTGGCAGCTGAGGAGGCCAGACCCTACGCACCAATAGTTGCCCCACCCTTATCCTCACAGTGCTCCTAACTAAACATGCAAAAGGCTAGAGTTCTGGAGATAGTTCAGAGTTCTCAGTGCCCACCCAGGGGCATTGAGAGGGTTTCTACCTGCTGATCTGTGGAGGACTTGTTGAGTGAAAGCCCAGGTCCCCCACAACACCGGCTTCACTGAATATTCAAAAGTGCTCTGTTGAGGGTGTTGGGATGATGGGCTAAGCACTTCCATAACTGCCCATCTGCTGCCCATCTCTGGGGGTGCCACTGTCTGTCACAACCCAGGGCGGGGGAATTTGGGAGTGTCCTTCTGTGATACTTGGGCCTCTGACAGCGGATGTGGAACCTGCACTAGCTTAGAAAAGACCCTAGTGGACCAGTTGGTGCCTGATGTAGGCGGCATCCATCAGGAGCTGGGCAAGGTAGAGAAGGGGGAGTTGCATGCATCATCTGTATTCGCCTAGAAATAGGAATATAACGTGAATGAGGAAGAGGGTCATGGCCCATGCATCCTGTTGAGTGTCTTGCGAGTATGCAGAACCAGGACTGAGGAGGGAGAGCCCATGGGAGCCACAGTCCCATGCCATCTGTATTTAGTAGTTTGAGATGTTTCCCTGCTAACTTGCCTTTGCTTCACCCTGTTCCCCTCTCAGGAGGACCCAAGAGCCCATGACTAAATATGTCCCTTTCCTTGGTCTGGAAGTTTTTGGCCAAGGTGTTGGGCTCAGGAAGTGGGCACATTTTTCCCAGGTCTAGAGACCTGCCTGGCCCAGAAGCCGACAGGCCAGGCCAGTAAAACCCTAGACTATTACTCACCGCTGGCCCGCCAGCTCTCGCCATCAACGGCGTCTGCATTATTTTTGGCTGCCTGTACTGCCCAGCTCTGGGCGTCAGTGAGTCAGGGCTGCCACCTGGAGCTGTGTTCACCGAGTCTTCTCCGTGAGTGTGGGGCACATTTTTGCTGGAGCAGGGAGCTGGCAGCCAGGTATGCTGGGCAGGTAGAGGGCCTAGAGGTGAGTTCCTGAGTCACCCAGCTCTGCTCCATCCCTGTGGTCTGCAGGTGAGATTAGAGTCTGTCGCAAGGTCCCAGTCAGGACAAAGAGCGTTGCTTATTTCCCAGACTCTCCCTTTGGATCCAGTTGGGTGCTGGGTGCTGACTGAGGTGCTCTCTGGGACAGAGGGACACTGACAGTGACCAGGCTTTGATACAGAGCATACTAGAGCCTGCCTTGGGAACACCAAATCTCTGCTATGTCTCTTCCTTCCACAGGCTCTATACCATGGAAAGTTCATTGACACAGGCTTCACCCTCCCTTTCTACAAGAGGATGCTCAACAAGAGACCAACCCTGAAAGACCTGGAATCCATCGACCCCGAATTCTACAACTCTATCATCTGGATCAAGTGAGTCCCCTCGCTTGCCCCTTGTTGGGAGGAGAGGGATCTCTGGTTGGGAGTAGGTACCCATGGCCTTTATTTTCTCTGCCATAGTGGCCCCGACCTCTTACCCAGGTTATACAAGTTCTTGTGGAGATGCTCAGCTTCTAGGGCCCCCATAGATCAGCTCCAGAATTCTCCTTTCATCAGGGAGAAGGCCTGGGCCACTGTCCTGGGTTCTGGGCCACCTTTGAGTTCTTGTGTTCCATGGGCACTGAAAGTGAATGATGGAGTAGGATCGAGAGAAGATGCTTCTAAGACAGACTTCTTCCCTCTTGTGCCCCCAGAGAGAACAATCTAGAAGAGTGTGGCCTAGAGCTGTACTTCATCCAGGACATGGAGATTTTGGGCAAGGTGACAACCCACGAGCTGAAAGAAGGTGGTGAGAGCATCCGAGTGACAGAGGAGAACAAGGAGGAGTACATCATGTAAGTCAAGTGCTAGGAGGCCGGGTGGGGTGGAGGGGCAGAGACACAGCGGCTGCAGAGAAGGGGTTTCCTGCTCTTGTTTCTGGGTGCCCTCTTCAGCCAGGCCCCATGCGTGGGCCATGGGTTACCAGGGATCATAGAAACCTCCCATCTTACATGGGCTTTAGATGGCTGCCATGGCTGGTCGCATGCTGACCAGAGCTGGAGGAGCCAGAGCTCAAAGCCAGAGCCCAGTACAGCTCCCGTTTGCTCTCCTTTTCCCCATGTGGTGGACTTCCTGACTGCAGGTCCGAAACTTAGACATCTCTCTTTTTTCTCCTAACTGGAAGGGTTTCTGTGTCCTGTGTGCTTAAACCCACTATTTCACGTACGTGTGTGCATGTTCTTCAGGTCTCTTGGTTTAGTCTTTTAACATCTATACGTCTGAGGCTCATTCGACAGCAGGAGGAGGAGGTGGTGATTTCAAAGCCTCATGCATCTCCGGGTTGCTGTGAGGTTTAAGAGGTTCTGCTCTGGGGCCAGTAGCCGCCAGGACTCGCGGTGCCAGAAGTCGAGTCTCAGCAGATTCCTCTAGGATTCACTGACAGCCGGTCTTTGGTTTTAGGCTGCTGACCGACTGGCGTTTCACCCGGGGCGTGGAGGAGCAAACCAAAGCCTTCCTGGACGGCTTCAACGAGGTGGCCCCCCTGGAGTGGTTGCGCTATTTTGATGAGAAAGAGCTGGAGGTGAGTGAGAAAGTTGTTGGGACCCTAAGCCCCTGCCTCTGGGGCAATACTGCCCTTTGATAGCCTCACTGCGGACCCACAGAAACTCCCAGTAGAACCCACACTCCCCAGTACTGTGGAAGCAGGCGAATAACTTTGATTTGGGTCCTCACATCCATCCCTCCCTGTGCCCTGGTTTGAGGAAGTCCATGTGCAAGATCTGTGTCATCCATATGATTAAAACTGCCAGCAGAAATATTGGCTGTTTGGGGTGGTTCCATCTGCTGGTGAATGGGTGAAGGGCTGGTGGGGAGGGGTCAGCATTGCAGAGCTGACACCCTTTCTTTCCCTTGCAGCTGATGCTCTGTGGCATGCAGGAGATAGACATGAACGACTGGCAGAAGAACACCATCTACCGGCACTACACCAAGAACAGCAAGCAGATCCAGTGGTTCTGGCAGGTGGGTCCTGCCAGGTCAGGCAAGGGTCTCAGCAGGGGTGTTACTGCATCCCACCAAGGGAAAGAAGACCCGGCTAGATCTCATACCCAAGGACCCTTGTGTTATCACCTCTCCCATCTTTGACGGTCTTCTCACCTCCCCCCACAACTTGCCAAAGGAGGTGAAAAACCCAGTCTCAGGACAAATGGAGCTGTTGCAGCTGGGTCGTAGCCAGTGCATTTGATAACAGTGTCAGTGGTCAGCTGGGGTCAGCTCTAAGTGCTGGTGTGCAGGAGGGGAGCCAGGTGGGACCGGGAAGCATATGCCTGGATCCAGAGAAACTGATTGAGCTCATCGACGTGTGTATAATGAATTGGTTCCTTTATGTGTGCGGGTGGTGTTGTCATTATGAAATACAGCAAATACACAAAAAGAGAATAACTATATGTAAATTTTTTGGCTGAGGTGAAATTTACATACTATAAACTTCACCATGTTAAGCATTTTAAGGTATACAATTCAGTGGCTTTTTACGGTGACTTTTCAAACTATTGTGTAACCATCACAATTAGCTAATTCCAGAAAAGTTTGTCTCCCCCCCCTCAAAAACCTGTACTCATTAAGCAGTCACTCCCATTTTTAGTATATTTTAAAAAGTAGAACTTGGAGGAGAAGAGAATACTGGTCTGAGGTGTTCCTGAGACAGCTGTCCCGTGGACTGGGGGAATGCTCTGTAAACACAGCCTCTTAGAGGGAGCAGCTTTGGGGTTTCCCTGGTTGGTGGCTGTCACTCCGGCCATCTGGGCTTTGTGTTCTCAGCCCCAAAGAGGAGAGTTACAGGGTAGGGTGAAGAGCAGGGCCAGGGGAGTCACCCACCTGCCTTGACTTTCGGAGTTGCAGGTGGTGAAGGAGATGGACAACGAGAAAAGTATCCGGCTGCTGCAGTTTGTTACAGGGACCTGCCGTCTGCCTGTCGGCGGATTTGCTGAACTCATTGGTGCGTCTTCCCTTGTGCAGCTGGCACTCTTGGGGGGCTGGTGAGGATAGCTCAAAGGGAGGGTGGCACCTAGTGTCTTCCTGGAAGCAAGTCAGTGGGAGGGGCAAGTCTGTGGCCTATGCCCCCTGGGGCTGAGCCATCTGTGGGTGGAGTCAGAGGGTCCTGCCTTAGGAAGGGATAGTCCCTTTGCATAAGGTGTGTTTCTTTGGATAACAGGTAGCAATGGACCACAGAAATTTTGCATCGACAAGGTTGGCAAGGAAACCTGGCTGCCCAGAAGCCACACCTGGTGAGCCTGCTGGTTTTACTGGGATGTGGGGTGGGACCTCACAGACCTGATGAGCTCCTAAGGGCAGCCCAGTGGACAGGGTGACTTTGGGGCCTTGACTCCAGCAACTTTTGCATGGCTCTGGGGTGCTGGGTTGGAGGGGAGGGCTGTGATGTGCCCGGCTGCCTTTGTCAGGGCCTCTGATCTTTTGGGAGTTGTGGCAGCAGGCATGCACCCTGACGGTCATGCCAGGTATTAAATATTAAAACACTTATATTCCAGTAGGCAGAGAGATTCTGGCCCAAGTGCCCTCTTGCCCAGTTCCTATTTCCCTGGCTGCCTGTCCTCTTTCCTAACCCCTCTGGTCCAGGAACATGAAGCTTTAAGGCCTGGCAAACAGGGTCCTTGATGTTCCTGTTTTGGCATCTCACCAGCTGGTTGGTGGTATGGTTGAGCCACAGTTGCCTGAACGCTTTTGACCCTCCTTGGCCAGCAGCCCTGACCTCCCCATGCTGACTGTCCTCCACCCCCTCTCAACAGTTTCAACCGTCTGGATCTCCCACCGTATAAGAGCTATGAACAACTGAAAGAGAAGCTGCTCTACGCCATTGAGGAGACCGAGGGCTTTGGACAGGAGTAACTGAGACTGCCCTCTCCCATGCCCCCTGCACACATGTAGTCACGAGTCCTCCCTGCCTGAGAGGCTGCTGGCTGCAGCCCCTGGGAGGGCCCCGCAGATGGTGGGACCACTGTCATCAGGCTGGTGGCAGCAGAGCCTGACCTCAAGAGGCCCTGCCCACCCCTCCCTCCTACCCACTGGTGGCAGTCTGGAATAAAGCCCCCTAGTCACCTTAACCCCGTCACCCACTGCAGTCTGGAGGGCTGACCCTCTGCAAAGCTCACTGAGCCTCCTCCCCTAAGGCCAACCCTAGGTGTGCGTGAGTGTACAAGGGAGGGCACCTGTGCCGAAGGGCTGTAGCACAAGCCCAGCCTCCTGGGCTAGTTAGGCAAGAAGGAGACTGGCCGCTCGGGGTAACTGAGCTGAGAAAGCCCAGGGTCTTTGCCAGTAAAAGAGGTTTTGTTTTAAATAGAACTTTTCCAGTGATCTGTATAAAATGAAGGTCTGAGAGAGAGGAGCTCTTCCCATACCCAGAGCTCTGGATCGAGGCTGTCTTCCCTCCCCCGCAGGCTCTAGCCATGGAGGCGAGTGGCAAGGCCCCTCTCTCCACTCAGGGCTGGCCAGTTCACCCTTCCCAGCCAGCCAAGGGTTGTGCCAGCTTCTTGGATGTCAGTGAGATGGAAACGGCAAGCTCAGACTTTCTTTTCCCTTTACCTAAACTTGAAGCATTTTGTGTGTAGGGTTGCCTGGTGTTTTGTTGGTGGTATGCTACTGTCACTTTCTTTTGAGGAGCTGGCGCACCAGGTGTTGCTGGGACTTTGAGGGACCCAGCACTGTTGGTTCAAGAATTTCCCGAACAGCTGCTCCTCTTGGGAAGCAGATTAGCAGTTCAGCGAGCTCAGGCAGCTTGACCTCACAGCAGCCTCATCCCCCTAGCCTCGACAGAGAGGGCAGGGGGTGGTGCCCTGAGTGCCACCGAGCCTTGCCCCCTCTGATAGAAAAGAACGCCCTTTGCTAGATGTAGTCACCCAGGCTGTAGACCTCCAGGTGGGTTGGTTAGTCCCCTTTTGAGAATGAAGTGCATCCCCGCTGCCCTAGAGCGTGCTCATTCTGCCTAGAAGTGAGGCTTTGTCTGCACATAGGAAACGATGCTCATGGAAGCCGGCTGAAGGGCCCTGAGTTGCTGCACACATCTGACTTGATTTCTGGAGCCCCTGCCGGGCTCCGTCATGGGCATTCTGCCATGTATTAATATCTTCAAGAAAAACAGGCTCCTCTGGGATGCTGAAGCCGTGATTGTCATGAACTCCCCGATCCAGCCCCTCAAGGTTCTTATGCTGAGCACCAGCTGCAGACTAGCTCCAACTTCCTGGGACCCCAGGCAGGCCCCCAGACCGGTCATGGGCCTTTGGAGGATAGTTTTGTGTTCCCAGATCTGTGTCCTTTCCCTTGGCCTGTGGAGGGACACCCGTGTCTGCTGTTCGTCTGTGCTGATTTGAATGGCGCAGCTCACTGCAGCTCAACCTTTTTTCTTCCCTGGAGTCATTTGCTGTGCTTCCCTGCAGCAACTCGCCACATCAGGGGTTGGGATGTGAGCTGCCATGCGGAGTTTGGAAGCCTTGGGCTCATGTGTGTTCAGAGTGTGTTTATGTGCGCGTGTGTATACATACATGTGTGTACATATAACAGGTGTCCACGGAATGTCCTTCGGTAGCTCTGGGTTGGCCATCAGACTGTTTTGTAATGCCCAGCGCCTTGCCTCGGAATTGGCAGTTTCTTGTGCAATAAACAGTCAGCAGCTGTGGGTGGTGTTGGCGTGTTTCCTCCAAAAATCACTGTCGCAGATGAGAGGCCTCTGGGTCCGACAGACCCTACAGGTTTGGACAGGGACAGAAGTTCCATGACCTTGTTGGTTTTGAGAAGCGTGTGCGTCATTGACCAAGACAGCCACACTTCTGATGGGGGGCCAAGTCCTGGTCCAGGGGCCACTGGCGTCAGCCCTTGGTCAGCTGCCTCACTGCACCCTCTCGGTGTCCTTAGCCTCCCCCTGACAGGCCTGGGTTTCTTTGAGCAGTTGCTGTGGGGCCAGATCACCCAACAGGTGAGGCTGCAGGTTGGACAGGCTTTGGAAGCCAGGTCCTGGAGACAGCGTTCTGGGCAGTTATTCATTCCAGAAACATTTCTTGGTGTTTCTTGAATTCCACGATGATGGCAGGACTCTCTGATCTTGAGTTCCTGGTCGTATAGGGGCTTGCCACCTACTTTTTTGAGTACTTAAGAGTTCAGATGGGACAGATTACCGTGCTGATGGGTCTCGATGTGTTTGACACAGAATTGACTGTCATCCAAGGTCCCTAATGGGTCTCTCAGGTGCCATTAAAAGTTAACATAAGGTGGGATCTCACTTGGTCTGGAAAGCTCAGTTTTAGCTTCCCCACTGCCATTCAATATTAGGGCTCACTTCACCCTTCCAGAAAAACTCACCCTAATGATCTGTGTACTTCCAGTTAGAGGAATGCTGACAAACAGCGGTCTCTCCTGGCTCTCGAGCCAAACTCAGCATCAACAACGCCCCAGCCTCATCTTGGGGAAGAAAATGGAGCCAGTGCCCAAAGTTACTACCTTAGCTCATTTCCCTACAATCCACCTCTTTTTATTTTTTATTTATTTTATTATTTTAATTTTTTTAGTCTACCCCTTGAATCCAATTTTAAATACCATTTATCTAGGTCCCTCTGATTCTGAGGTTGGTTCCGGTCCCACGGTCAAGCTGACTTTTCTGTAGTCCCCACTGCATGCATCAGGCACCACTCAAGTGACTCAGATCAGAGCATGCGGCTTCTCATTGACTATTTTCCATTATTTGTGGCCTTTGAATATCCACATAGACTCAGGGCCTAACTCCAAATCAGCTGGTCCCAGTGGCAATAATCTTTTTTTTCTTTTTGAAAAAAAGATCATTTCTACATAATGTTCTATTCCCAACTTTAGTTCCATTGCCCCAAACACAGAGTCAACCCTTCCACTAGGAGCAGTATTTCTTTTTGGTATAAAATAGTGTTAGAAACCAAGATTGATTTCATCAAGATGGCACAGTGAATTCATGATTTGATCAATCTCTGCACTCTAAACATAATAAAAGACACAAAACATAAAAGAAAAACAAGAAGGTCGGTTCAAAAACAGGAAAAATAATTCAGAGCCTGGCAGTGGTGGCTGGGAGTTCAGCTGCTGTGGGGTAAGCTGTCTAAATATGCTCTTGTATAGATGGGGCGGGCACCAGCCCACTG